GCTATAAACAAAAAACTGAAACAATATCAGAAAATGTACAACCATAAGTATGTGTGTGTTTGAGAGTGAGTGGGTGTTTGTGTGTGTGTGAGTTAAATATTCAATTTAAATTTTGCAGTTTATTTTGTGCAATTTTCCAATTGTATTTGGTTTTGTGTTTGGGATTATGGTTTCTATATATTAGTAATTATAATTATTTTTATTAACATTTTATCATTATATTTCTTTGGTTTGCATTTAAAAAATGTTTGGTGCGCGCTTATGAATGGTTGTGTGTGTGTGTTGTGTGTGTGTGTGTGTGCGTTGCCTTGAACTAAATGCCTTAAGTTTTTAACTGGTTTTGCTTATCTAGATACTTTAGAATTTCATTTTTGAGACCATCATACATACATATATAATATACATACATTTATTATACATAATGTACATGCACAATGTAATTATTACATCATGCACATACATGTCAACTATGTCATACCATATGCATATATATGTGTATATGTGTACTGCGTATATGTATACATATATCATTTCTCAGATTCATTATAAAATGTGTTTTAGTGTCTGGTGCCGCCCTCTAAAAAGGCGGCACCAAAAATGCTTCAAACATTTCTTTGGTTTCTTCTGCTTCTTCTTTTATTAATTTTTTGTTTTTTCTTCTTCTTCTTTGCGTGTGTGTGTGTGTATATTTTTTAAAGGGCTTGTGTCATTATTTGTCCTAAATGCTTTGCCTCTTGTTTCAGTTTTTATTTATTTTTTTTTGTTGTTAATTTTTATAAATATTCTTAAATATTTCCATTAAAAAATTGCACTATCGCCAACTAAATGTCTTTCTTGTTTTCATTTTTGACAAATTATATTGTTAACTAGGTGTAGAGTAAAAAAGAATACGAAAAGTAAATACATTAACTTAACTAATTCATTAATTGTTCTTGTTGTTTTCCATTTATTTTTTTGGTTTATTTTTATACAAATTCTCAGCTATTTATCTTGGTTTTTTTTTACAACTAAAATGCTTAATTTTTTGTTTTGTTTTTGGAAATACGCTCCGAAACCGTTGAGCAGCTATTTGTTCTTGTTGTTATCGATTTTTGGTAATCGTTTCGTGTTATCGTTTTACGTTTTACAGATAAACCTCATATATCGCTTATGCATGTATCCAGTTTTTTTTTCAATTTATAAACATTTTGATTTAACTATTTTTGTTTTTCTTTTTCTTCTTCTTGGTTTTTCGTTTTTCTCGGTAATATAATTGAATTCCGACACCTGTATAGCTACAAAATATATGTATATAGTATATGCCAGTTATACATATATATATATATATACTTTTAATGTGCTTTTCTTTTTGTTTTTATATTAATTTTTTTTTGTTTTTATCACCGATTTCACTTGCTGTCGCGTTCGAGTTGAGTTTTCTGCCTGATTCTAACTATGTACTGAAAAAGTTGTGTTCCTAAGAATAGTTTTTCATTGCTGTTCTCACTGTTCTTCCTCTTCTTTTTCATTATACCCTTGTAGTTAGGTGTTATTATCATGTGACTTGACTAAAGTATATATATTCTTGCATCAAGAGATCGTTAGATATGGCAGGTTCGTTAGGCTAGTCTTTCCTGGCTTGCATAAGTCGGAGCTTTTCGGATCGGACGATATATCTATCATACAGCTGCAATAGGCATAATGGGTCAACAACTAAGTTCTGGCATAAAAAAACACACTTTTCTTCTTTAAAAACTTCCTTAACAATCGGATATTTAATAGTCTTACGATGCTTCTTATATATGAGCCATATCTTATTGGCAACGGATCACACATGACATGTTATGAATATTATCGGTCTAAAAATTTGTACTCCTTTGCAAAACTTGTTTGTTTCGAAAGATTTCTTTACTTAAATTGGCGCTTACGAGTTCTACCAAGCTAAACACACATGAACCATAACTTATTCATATCGGATCACCTTAAAAAGTGCTCTATGAAAAAAATGCTCGAAGAATGAGTTTGTTTTTGGAATCTCTGCCATAAAAAGCTTCTTAATTCGCTTTCATATAAATACAAACTTTGCTTTTTACTTCTCTTTCATATAACCTCCAAACTACTACAAGGGTATTCAATATTCGGCATGCCGAAGACAAACTTTCTTCTTCGTTTTATTTGACTTCTTATATTTCTTCTTCTTTCGCGTGTATTTGTGTAAATCAATTGCAGTTGCAGTTTATCTCAAATCCATGTAGGTAAGTACTTGGCTCAACTGATCATACAAAAATCTAGGTAAAAGTTCAATTGCTTTACTTTCACTTAATTTATACGTGAGTGTGTTCTCGTGTGTGTGTGTGTATGAGTGTGTGTGTCTAGAAAGTTAATAAAGTAATTTTTGCTTGTTGTTGTTGTTGTTTCCTTCAGATGTATCTATATGTAACATTAGGTTATGTTAGGTTAAGTGTATGCGTTATAGGTATTAAGGGTAGCTGTTCCTCTGTTGACTGTGTAGATTTAGCTATTTGTCTATATCTGTCTGCTCTTCTTCTTCTTGTTCTTTGTCTATAATATTCCTCAATTTATCGACAGTCTTGCGCCTAGAATTGTAATTTCATTTAGCTTATACTGCCAGTATACCTTATTATGGGAGTACTTTTTGCATACTATATATATATAAAATTAATTGTTTGTTTGTTTGTTTGTTTGGTTTACATATAAAAAACTCGTGCTACATATAGGTGCTTAAATACGTTATGTTATTGTATATACTCATTGCATAAAGTACACATACATATATTATATGCAGATGTGTCTGTATGTGTGTGTGTGTATGTGTGTGTGTTTGTCTATATAATAGGTATAGGTGTGTGTTTGTCTGTATATAACTATCATATATTATCCATATACATAATACTACTCATATATGGTGTATAACTCAGCATTAGCTATAGCCGCCCCTTCCACTCAGCTGACTGTACAAAAAACTTTAGGCCTAGATATAGCTTGCTGCTTCCTCTTCTTCTTCTTCTTCTTATTATAACTAATAAATTAAAACTTTATGATGATATATTTGTTTCATGTTTGTTTTTTTTTATGGTATTCGTGATTTCGTTAAATTTACTCAGTATTGTGCTAGGTTTTGGTATTCAAACTAAAACTCACTTTTAACTAAATACTTTTTGAGGAACTTTACCAAAACTTCAAATGTACTTAAGTGTGTGTGTTTGTGTGTGTGTGTGTGTGTGTGTGAGTATTATACTAAGCTTAAATGGTGCATTGTTTATATGTATTTATCGCTTTATTGACTGCTTGAACTTGTGTCTGAGTTGCTTTAACTAGTTATAATTACATTTAACTAATTTTAATTAATTGTTATTTTCATTTTGCGAAGTTTTGCTCCTACTTTGCGTTTCTTCTGCTGCTGCTTCATCAGTTTTTATATACAATTTGAAAATAATAAATCTTAAACGTCCCCACGTCATAAAAATCAATTAAACTATCAACTATCGTCATTGTTAAACAACTATTTTGTGATGCTTACGGTCTAAGTTTCTTTATAGGCAGTTTCATTCAAATTTGTGTACATAACTCTATTTATTTTCGTTTCGTAACTCGTCTATTGTGTGTTTGCTTTCATCTACCCTGAACCCATTGAAAATGACACGAGAAAGAGTCTGGGAATTTGGAATATATGTACATTCCACTTCTCGCATTTTCACGATATCGTTAAATATCGTTGCTAAGAAATGGAGTTTGCGGCATAGCCGTTAGCTATATAGGTTAAGGATCTAAAAATCTATTAGATTAAAAAGTGAACACCTTGCGCTTTGGTATGCACACACATTTGGGTGTCATATGCAAGTCTTGAAAGTCTCATAAAGATCGGACTATAAACACCGAAGTTACACAGAAATGCAGTTCCCACAAGGAACAGGGCACAGAAGAGGAAGCGCTTTGCTTATAAGAAAACGTGAATAGAGCAACTTTTCGTTGGGTTCAGGGCAACTTCTAGTCGAGCATAGCCGACTTTAGCATTGGTTTCTTTTCCACTTTGCTTTTGAAATTGTATCGCAAAGTTTGTCTGGATTTTATATTTTGCTTGTGGTGTGCAATTATTCCTCTTGTTGCATTAGTTTGCGTTTATTTTGCTTAATAAAATTTGTTGAAAATAAAATCGTTTATTAAAAGTTGAATTAACTATTTTGTTTGTTTGTTTTTGGTTTTTCTATATGCCCGATGCCTTTCGCATACAAAAGGTGCCTTTGATAGTAATGCATAAGAATTTTCTTTGTATTTATTTTTGTATAATTTTTCATGTGCAAATTATTTAAAAATTTGTTTTTTTTTTTTTATTTATTTAAGAGTAGTATTATTTGTTGGTTTTCATTCGATTTAAATTAATTAAATGATTTGATTAATTTGAAAAATTTGTTGTTTTACACTTTTCCTACAAAATTTGGCCATTTTTCTTGGAAGCGCTAAAAAGTGTTCAGTTTTGAAAAATCAAGAAACATATTTTCGATGCCATATATGAGGTGCCCATATTCGTGTGAAGTGGTGTGTGCGGGTTGGGGTAGAGAGGGGGGGGGGGGGGGGTGTTGTTTCAAAAACCATAAACTAAATTTAGTATTCGCCTAAACTAAGGAAGACCATTTGACTGTCTGCTCGGGAGGGAAGTAAGGGCAAAGTAAGTATTGATACAAACCAAATGGAAACTAATTGAAAATCTCTCAAAAAATGTTTCTTTCACTTTGGTTTTCTTCGTCTGGTTTTCTCTTTTTTGAAGAGGTTTTCTTTACAGTTAGGTTTTCTATATTAGCTTATGTCAATTGCATCGGGTGTATTAAAAATTTGAATTATGTGTGTCTGCAATTAATTTCTGTTGACTGTGCTTTTTAATTCTTTTCTATTTGTTTCGTTTTTTTTTTTATATCTTTATATTAATTCTGCTTCTGCTGCACCTTTTATATTTTCTACTATTTGCTTTTGATTATTCATCGTGTTGTTGCTGCTCCCCGTCTTCCTCTTCTTTATTTATGCTAGTTTTTTTTTTTAATTTACTTTTTATTTTGCGTAAATCTATTTAACAATATTCTTTACTCTCGTCCGTAATATGTGTGTCTTTATTTGTTTTTTTTTATTATTATTTTAAATTTTATTTTTAGTATTTAACAATAATATGTTGCCTTTTGCATTTCTCCATATCGCTAGTTAAAATTAGTTTTTGGTTAATCATTTGTTTTTTTTTTGTTTTGTTTTGCTTTAATTTTTTGTTGTTTTTTTTTGTTGTTTTTCAGCGCCTTGCACAGTTTAACTCTCTTGTGCGCTGTTGTCACTTGTTGCCGTCGCCTCCTTGGGGGGCGTGGCCATTTATTCCTCCCCGAGCAGGACAAGATCGTCGGCAACGACATCGCTCACGTGCAGGTAGATAATCCAGTACATCAGATTGAAGCACACAAAGCACACGGGAAACACAATGCGCGAGTATTTGTCAATATCCGAGGGTGTTATGCCCAGCAGTTTGTTAATATCCTGCGAGAGGATCACAAATTAATCAAATATACCATATGATATTCGAGAAATCAACATGGAAAACGAAATGAAACAACTTTTCAATTGGTTCGAGATTCTTTAAGCTGAAAGATCAACATTTTTAAATCAATTTCTTGATTGAAGTATAAAAAAAGGGTGTCAAGTAAAAAAACAAAACAAGAAAACGAAGATTCTTTAAAAACACTCGATTTAAGTACGAAAGATCTTAAAGATTCTAAAAGAAACGAATGAAAGACGATACCAAAACATCAAGTAGAATTCTTAACAAAATTAAACGGTTCCTGATTCAAACATACAAATATTGCTCAAAAAACAATACAAAAATTTGTGTAAAAAAAAAGAATCGAACGAAATAGAACAAAGCCTTTGATTCAAGTGTCAAAATCTTATTAAAGTATAATCGCATAATTTGTTATCGTAAAAAATTCCCAAAAAACTTGATATTAAATAATCCTTAAATTAACTAAATAAATCTAAAATTCTTAAAAAATATATAAAATATTCTTGATTTGTACATAAAAGTCTTGCTTTAAGTACAAGAGATAGAATTCGTAGAAAAGCATAGAGTTCTTGAAAAGAATTAAATTCCAAATTAAAGAATTCTTAAAAAAACATAAGATAAATTGTTATTTATGCACATAAAATCTTGTTTTGAGTACAAGAGGATACTGCAAATAAAAGAACATATAAGTAAAGAAATCAAGTTCTCGATTTGTGCGTAAAGGTCTTAATTTAAGTAAAAACGAATACTGAAAAACATAACCAACAAAAACCTAAAGAATTCTTAAAAATATAAACGAAATCATGGCTCGGGCATAAAATTCTTCTTTCAAGTAGAAAAGAATACTGAAAAAGAAAAACAACAAATGAATATTATTTCTTGGTGTACAAAATTATGCTGCAAAAATAATCATATGCTTGATTTGTGCATAATTATCTTGATTTAAGTATAAATATAATGTTAGACTTTGCGGTATTGCCGTATCGAGTACGATCATTACCTTTACCTTTTTTACTTTGCCCGGATGTAGTAGATGTGCTGGGACTGCCGCCTCCGGATCACCGCCAGCATCTGGCGGTCCGCCACCACCGCCACCGCCGCCGCCGCCACCGCCAGGACCAGCGCCGCCGGGCGCTGGGCCGGGTCCATGCGATTGGGGACCGCCACGTCCGCCATTCACCGTATTCTCCAATGTGCCGCCCTTGGAGTGTGCCTTTGGGTCGTGGACCTTGAATCTCACCTCCTGGAACAAGGGTCCCACTATCGAGCAACCGCGCGTACCAACGTTTTGTTGGATATTTGAAAAGCCGATTGGGCGGTTACTCACTGTTTGTTTGGGCGCATGCGGATGACCATGGCTGTGGGCATGATGACCATGCCCATGTCCATGCTCAGGACCGGGTCCGCCTCCGACATTCGGATTCGGATTGGCCTGCTGCTGCACACCATCTAACTGTTGCTTTTTCTGCTCAGCTATCTTTTGGATCGCCATAAATCTTTGTTTTCGCATTTGAATTCGTTTTGCCATATAGCCGACGGTGGCGTATTCTACGATTGCGATATGATATTTTGGATATTGGATACAGTTTCGAATTGATTTTTGTCAGTTTAGAGAATTTTTTTTTTTTTTCGTTTGTAATGCAACAATTTTGATAATGGGTACGGACGGTTGCGGGCGGTACGTGGTGGTGTGGATGGGAAAAATTTAGGTTTTAATGCGGATGCACAAAATTTTGAATCAAGTCGCGTTCCACATGAGGTTTTTTTTTGAAGATGATTGTTGATAGTTGAATAATTGTTGGTGGTGGTTGTTGTTGTTGTAGTTGTTGTAGTTGTAGTAGTTGTTGTTGTTGTTGTTGTAGTTGTAGTTGTTGTCATTAGTTGGATGGTTGCACAGTTTGTAATTTTGAAGTACGATTTGGAACGGTAAATGGGGGGGAAAATGGAGCGTTTTTTGGAAAATATTAATTTTCTTTTCTTGGCATTCATTTGTAAATGTACGTATAAATATATATATATATAAATACATAAATATTATGCAAATATATTATAGAAAGCAAGATAAATGGCAAAAGAAATTGTGATTTAGAGAAAATTTTGGATATATGATAATATATATATATGTGTGTATATGTAATAAGAAAAGAAAAACTGGGAAAGGACATTGGGTAAGCACTACACAGGGTAATAAAAGTCAGAATAACAACAGACGAGTATGCTCGACTGGCCGATACCCTGTACCAAGATATCAAATGTTAGCAGAAGAAGATTAAAGTTGTTGCGATTCTTGAATATATTCGTAAATATTTTAATATAAATAAATATTAAAAGATATTGAAGAAAGTGAATTAAGTTGTGTTTTAAGGAATCTAGAAGTAAATCAAAGCACGAAAATTTATATCAAACTATAGAACTGGGAGAATCCTTCATCAATATTTCTTCTTTGAGAGGAATTTCTAGAACTGAAAGCCAGGTTGATTCTATAAAGTCTTATAGCTGCGATATATTCACGACAGACTGTTAAAAAGATTAGCTTGTTATTCCCCTTCTTGACTTGCACAATTTTCCAGGGTACAGGGTATAAATAATCAACGTCTCGTGTGTGTGTGTGCGTGTGTGTTTGTTGTTGTTCTCGTTGGTTGGTTGTTAAATAAAAATTGAATAAATTCATATTCTGTTCGTAAGCCAAGCAACAAAAAAAACTGTGTAGAAGCAGGTGTATTGTGTGTGTGTGTGTGCGTGTGCGTGTGTTGGTGTGTGTGGAGGTAAGATAGGTAAGTACAGACAGAGAAAGATAGATAGAGAGCAATAAAGGTGTAACGACTAAATGTAAGTGTATGTGTGTGCGTGTGTGTGTATGCGTGTGCGTGTGTGTTTGCGTGTGTGTGTATGCGTGTGTGTGTATGCGTGTGCGTGTGTGTGTGCTTGTCAGTATCTGTCTGTCTGCTGCTAATGTTATTGTTGCTGTTGTTGTACATTTTGTTTCTATTTTGTTGTGAAATGAGTGAACGAATAAGATAACAAAAAACAAAAATATATTTAATTTGTTGGCCAAATGGTTTATGTATTAAATTTATATCTGCTGTTGAGACCATCATTCAAGGAAAATGTTTATGTGCGTGCCTTAAATGCAAATTCATTGAACAGTCGCCTGTGTAGGGGACACACACATTTCCAGCTTTTCGTTTCGCCTCGTCTATTTGTGTAATACACATATGTCGAATCCTAAACTGGACCACATGCACGAATCGTATATATGGTATATATATATATATATATGGATCGCAAAAGACTTACAGGATAAGCGCTATGAGGCGTGCTCTCGACGAGGGCAACTGTTTGGTTTTGAGCAACAATGTTTGGGGTAGGGATTTTTTTTTGGGTGTGATTAAATAGTTTTTTGTAGAACAAGTAACGAACGCGTTTACTTACCCGATCTCCGAGCGCCGTTGCTGTAAATGCTTAGAGAATGGAAACAGTGGGAGACACTTTCGGTCTCGTATCTTACCTAAACTCAAGTCTGGAGTGTTTGCCCGGGCGTCAACATTTGCAGCTTGTCATGTCTGGGCCACATATTCAAATGGCGCAGACTTGACAAGCCAAATGTTATATATTATATAGATATAGAAATATATCAGGGCAAATTTTGTCTGAGATTTGAGATATATGTTCAGCTATGCATGGCCGGCACTTCGTCTTCATCTTGGACTCTATATACAGTGTAGTGTATTATCATTTTTTTTTTTTGACTTATTTCTTTTTTGACTTTGGTTTTTTTTTCTATGTTATTCAATTCAATCGCGACTCAAGCCAGGTGTGACGCAAGGCATGCTGGTATTCATATTGTTTTTTTTTATGCGCTCGGTTTTAGCTCGTACCCCTGGGCTGGAGATTTCAGAATCGTTGTGTTTGTTTCTTTTCAGATTTGAATTTCATATTTTTGCATTCTTTTTTTTTTTTCTTTTTTATATGTATGGTAAGTAGCTTTTGTTTTTTAGGCTGTTCGTAGGCTTTGCGTTAGAGTGGAAGCTGGGCGTATATTAATATCTGGGTACCATTGCAGGTTGAAATGTGTTCGCTCATGTGCATTTCTCTATGCAGTTATCATGATGACAAGAATCATTCTCATTTTCATTTTCATTTTTGGTTTTTTTTTTTTTTTAGTTTTTGTAATGTTTTGTTTTTGTTTTTGTTTTGCTTGTTGCGTGGAACACAATGTCAACCTGAGGCGACTACAATAATAGTTAAGTACGAGTAAAGCTAAAAGGCTAAAATAATTTTTGGCATATATAAACTTGGGCTATTCAGAGTTGACTGCAAGGCTGCATAAAGTAGACTCTAATATGATGCTGCTAAGGTACGAACTTTTATGAGTATTCGAATATAGTTAAAGTTGACTTCAATAGAACTCTCAAGTTAAGATCTTCTTTGTGTATAAAGCAGACTTCAATAGAGTTCCTAAGTTAAGGTCTTCTATGAGTATTTGAGCATGGTTAAAGTAAACTTCAAAAGATGCTTCTGATGATCCTAAGATCTTCTGCGAGTACTCGAATAGGTTTAAAGTAGACTTTAAAAGATGCTCCTAGGGAGAGATCTTCTGTGAATATTCGAGTCGGATTAAAGTAAACATCAAAAGATGCTCCTAGCAGAGGTCTTCTGTGAGTACTCGAGTAAGGTTAAATGAAGGTAAAGTACAATCCTTTGTTAGTACACAACTTTATTTAAGTATTTTCTATTTAAATTTCTTTTAATTTGAAATTTAGAAATGGCGGAAATTTGGGCAAATCGAGTCTGGCGCCAATTTTGGCTCTTCTACTCTTCCTAATACTCATTGCGAAATGTCAAAAAGTACAGAAAACAGTGTTGGAAAATATAACGAAAGTCTATTATTCACTGAGATAATCTAAACATAACAGACGGAATAGCTTCTGGCTAACAAATCGAATCTGGCGCCATTTTTGGCTCTTCTACTTTGATTAACAGCGTTTACTGCTTAGCAAGTGTTGAAAAGTAAAGAAAACTGTGTTGGAAAACACACTGTGATCATCTAGCCTCTGGCTGACAGAAGTAGAGTATGTAGTTGTCTACTTTAAGCTGCTTTGCAGGCGGTTTTCACTGAATATACCAAATGCTTTTTTTGTTTACTTGCAGAAGCATGCTTCGATTGTTTTAAGGGTATTCTAAAAGCTCTGCATGTGTATTAACTAGTGCACTATGTGTGTGTGTGTGTGTATGGTGTGTGTTGGTGTTTGTTTGTGTGTGTGGGTGTGCAAAACTTTTCGCTTGGAAATTTTGTGCCCCTACTGTTTTCGGGGGGTGGGGCAGAGCGCGTATCTATGAATTTGCATACATTTTCTTTAGATGATAGTTGCATTGTTTCTTTGTATAGAAGAAATTAACAATAACATACAAATACGAAAAAAGAGATTTTTTTATCTTTTTTTTTCTTTTGTTTTTTTTTTTTTTCTCATTGTTGTTGACCTGAGTTGAGAGTTTGTTGTAGGTAAAAAGTAGTGTGAGTTGTTGCTTAAGATGTTAGGATTTTAAGAGAGAAAGTTAAAAAGTTAGAGCATTGGACTGGACTGTAGTAGAATTGTTTCAAATATACTTATATCCAGAGCAATACGAAAATTTGGATAATTTACATATAAGGCCGATCGGCTCGATAAATAGATTTGAAACATATATAGATATATATATTGTTTTTTTTTTTTTTTTTACTACCAGCATTAAATGAATTTTGTGGAAATTAAATTGAGTTGAGGGAAAAGTTGTTGAGCAATAAAAAATCTACTCAAAAAGTTGTAACAAAAGCTCAAGTAAATCACATTTAAAATTTACTTCAACTTTTCTGTTGTTATTTTTGTTTTGGTTTTTGCTGTAAAAAAAAGACTGTTGAAAGAAAGTGTATTTGTATCTGTGGTAGTTTTGTTTTTTTTTTTTGCTGCAAAACGCTAAGCGAAGTAGAGTGGCAAGGTGTTAAGTATTTTGGCATATTGGCTGGTTCGAGTGCCTTTCGCCAAAGGTAAGAAATTAAAAACGAAAACTAATGAAATACGAGATGTGTATCAAAAAAGGAAAAATTTCGAGAAATAAAGCAACACACAAAATTTCACAGGGTATGTGTGTGTTCGTATAGATGATGCTTTTGTGTGGTGCTGTGTGAATTGATGGTATTTAATTGTATTTTGGCTACTTGATTGGTTTTGTAATTTAAATTCTGTTTTTTTTTTTTTTTTTTTTTTTAGAGGTGGAGTGTATTGGTAAATGTGTTATTTTGGTTTCGCTAGATTTTGTTTACCCAGTAGACTGGCAAAGACCATAACGAAGCATGTTCCCAGATAGACGTCAATCGATTTGACGTACGAAATCTTTGGCAGCGCTGCGTTTGTTGACGACATCAAAGTGGTCATTGTCAACACGGTTGTCACACCGAGCGCCACACGCGCCGGCGTTGCATTGCGATTGAGCCAAAATGATACCCATGATATAATAACGATCAGTCCAGAGGGTATGTAGATTTGTATAAGATAATAGCCCATCGAACGCACGAATTGTATTTCGCAGGCTAAGCGCGAATAGTTGCCTGTTCACACACACATATGTATATATATATACAGTCAGTAATTATTATTATGATGATTATTATTTAATAATTGTGAATAGAAATTTGTGAATTGTTTTCGTTTTTGAGTTCGAGTTCGAGTTAGTCAAAGATCGAGCATATGAAAAGAGATTTTTGGGGAGAGAGAGAGAAAAAGAGAGCAGAGAGTAATATATTATTAGTAAATATTTCGCTAAAAATTCGAATATTTTTTTTTTTTGATTTTCTTTCTTTTTTCTTTTTTAAATCATAATTTGTTTATGTATTTTAGTAACAATTATCAATATAAATTTTCAACATTGAACAGAAAATTAATAAAAATAAATTATATATAAATTAAATTAACTAATTGGAAAACATTACGAATAAATTAAGCATTTTTGTAAATAATGAGCGCATTTAACTGAGAGCAACGAGTATTTCGATATCCGCAACTCGAGGGTTGCAAGCACATCGCTGTTACGATAAATCTATCGGTAAATCTATCGCTTCGACAGTTAATTTAAGAGTATGTTAGGTTTGCATATGATATTTTAAGAAATATGTGTATGTAAATACCAACAAAAGCAAAATCGAGTAAACAAACAATATATGTATATGATAATGGGATCTGCAATATTATAATAACATTATGTAGTTAAAGTTGTGTGTTTAGTGCTAATTAGATGAAATACTTAACGCTGCAGTCGCCTACTTGCTAAACTGCAAACTGTTTGAGTAAACGAGTATGTTAGGATATTTATTTAAAACGAGTAACCAAAATGAAATGAAAGAGCGAAAACCTCTTAAAAGTGGCCGGGCGAGAGACAAAAAAGGAAAACGTCGGGAAAATTATTAGAAAGAAAAAGTTAACATGAGCAGAGAGCGAGACAGAGAGAGAGAGAGAGAGAGAGAGAGAGCTAGCCTAAGGCCCAGTTAGGCACAAATGATTTTTGGCCTGCAAGAATTTGTATGTTATAAATATATATATATATATATATATATATATATATATATATATATTGTTTTTTGTATTTTTTTGAAAGGAAACTTTAAAGATGAGAGCATGCTTGGGAGGGCGTATCTTGTATATTTTTCATATTTGTTTTAGATATTTAATTATATATATTTGTTTTTTTTTTTTTTTAGATTTTGTTGCTTGCTTCTGCTAATTATCAAAAAAATGGATTTTAGTTTTTATTTAAGTTTTAAAAATCTAGATTGTAGTTTTTTTCGATTTTAATGTTTTTGCAGTATTTTCTGTGTTTTTTTTTTTTGGTATATTTTTACAATATTAATGTGATTGTTGCTGTTGTTGGGTTATGCTAATGAATTTTCGATAGCGTTTTCAATTTTGGCAATTACTTTGTTTTTTTAAGTATTATTTTTTAGTAAAAACTAAATGTGACTAGATAATAATGTATATAGTCAAGTGTGTGTGTGTGTGTGTGTGTGTGTGTGTGTGTGTGTGTGTTGGAAAATATAATATATAATTTGTACGAGTCTGAATGACAGGCATAAATCGAAAGGATGATTATCTAAGTACAAAAGCCATATAAAGTTAAGCATCGCTATACTTTTTTTTTTTATTTATTTGTATTGGTGTTCAATAGATATATAGAAGATATATGTACGTATTTATTTTGCATATTAATATATTTTACTTAATGCTTTCCATGACACAAATGTCGCTAAGTCAATTTCAGTTTGATTTCGTTTTTACTTTTTTTTTGCCTTCAAATTTTTGCTGTTAAAATTTGTTCGATTTTTGACGGAGCATGAGAAAATTGTTCAATTGCTTTTTGGTTGATTCGTTTGGCATTGCCAATAATTTAATTTTGTTTATGAACTAATGACGAAATAATTGAAACTGAAAACTGAATCAACTCGAAACGAAACTGAGAATATAAGTGAATTAAGTGAAATACTAAATGAATATTAAAGTAAATAAATTCAGCTAGCTTAACATGCATTAGTCTTGCGCTTAAATATTGATATATGTTTTTTATCTGTAGCTCTAAGTTGCGCTCAGGCTGTTGTTTATGTTCAAATTCCTTTTTGGGCAAAAAATGCATTTGCTTCGCTATAAACTTGCAGACGTTCCGAACTGAACTCGACTTGCTGTGAAGATGAGTCTGTAAAATATGGTCGAAATGTTTGTCTAAGCTCAAGATGAATTATATCGGATTCAGTCGCATCGGACAACTACAATATATAGTCATAACAGGCAAAGTCGAACAGATATAGTTTTGTTTTTCTTCTAGTATATGATTATCTGCAAGAGTATAGAATCTTCGGCGGACCGAAGCTAGTTTTGGTTCTGACTCCGATTGATTTGAGCGTTAGTTAAATGTAAGTTGAGAGTAAGCAAAATATTATGCATACATGCATTTGTCTAATTTTGTTGCCATTTTCATTTGGAACCTCAGATCAGATTGCACTCGAACTCGATTTAGCCCGATATATATATTTATATATTTATGTGTATATATATATATATATATATCTGTTTATATATGTATAGCTGACTGACGTTCTAGTTAGATGAAGAAGTACGAGTGCTTTATCAAAATAATTTGGGTTGTAAAGAATGCAAATGTTAAGTTTAAGCAACTAATCGAACTAAAGATGGAAACGCAAAACCTTTATATATATATATAAAATTTACATATATATATATATATATGTAAGTATTAGTACAAGTCGTCATCAGCACTATTTTGTATATACATATATATGAAACATATGTATATGTATAGGTAGTAAAGGTAAATAAGTATATGTATATATATATATATATATATATATATATATATATATATATATAGATATATACATATATATATATATGTATATGTATGTATGTATATATAAAGTTAAAAGTAAAGTTTGTAAAAAAATCGGTAACCGTCTACAGGTACCTGTGGTAAGACTGATCTCCATTGCCCTTTGACGATGACCCAAGACCTTAAACTGGGGCAGCGATACCTCGCTCGAGACACCAACCGAGTTAGGGCCTTCGTTCCATTTATAGCGTATGTCACGCATCGTGTAGCCGACTATATATATACATATATATATGTATGTTGTGTATATGCAGTTGGAGATGATCCATGTTTTTCAATTTTCAGATATTTTTTCATATATTTTTTATTTGATTTTTTTATATATATTTATTTAATTAATTTTTTATTGATATATTTTTTTTATAGATTTTATTGTATATTTTCATGAATATTTTTTTATAATTTTGTTTTTGTTATAATAATTGATATTTTATATTTTTTTTGTACAGTTGTTGTTCGGCGTTGTTCGGTGTGGTTGTCGTTGCGAAAAATATGCACAAAACAAAAAATACATTTCGTGAGACTATTAATGATTGGCAAAAAAAGAATTTCATAGTAAGTCTTATTAATTTTTTTCTTTTATGCTTTTCTTTTTCAATTTTGTATTGTTTTTTTTTTCTCTGTTTTTTTTGCTGTTTATCATTTGTTTTATTACGTTAATTAATAGTCTCATTCAGAACTTGTTGCTTAAAGTGTTGTCAAATATATTTTTTGATTCACATTTGAAATTAAGTTAGAAATATATTTTTGCTCATATATTACAATTCCGCATTACATGTATTATACAAAGGGGTTATATATATAGTTGCTATGGATTCATAATATAGAGAGCGCATTCAAGAATTTTTGAATAGTTTGCAACTAGACTTAAAGCTACTGTTTGTTCTTATTGGCAGTAGTTATTTGATTAGTATTCGTTTTTCTTTTTTTTTTTCACTTAAGCACTTAGAAATGGCAGAAATTGGTGCTCTTGTGTTTTCTGTATAATATATATATATAGATCTATGTATATTTATTTTCGGTTTAAGAAATTTTTATTATAAAATATTTGCTGTTGTTGTTGTTGTTGTTGTTTGTTAGCCTACCCAAGCAAATGCGCTAAAATGGACGGCAAAACTGGAACTGGACTCGTAAGTACACACAATAATTAAAAGGAAAAGAGTTGGAAAACAAAAAAAAAAAAGAAGTAGAGTTTACGGCATACTCGCAACGCCTAGCAAAGCACTGTCTAACACTGGTCTAACACTGTCTAACACTGGACTACGAATCGTTTATAAATTATTGTTAAATTGTTTAGATGATCAATCAAAAGTGATGTAGGCACAACAGAGGTTAGTAGAGGAGGACACTCGAAACACAATAATATATGTATTTAGTATTTAGTTAGTAGAACAAGTTACAGTTAGCACTCGATGTAGGTGAAACACAAAACTAAAGAAAATGTGCATGTTGTTTGGTATGTTTAATATATGTATATAGAACATATATATTGTATATATATAAATTTATGCGCTAAAAACCCTTTTTTAAGGAAATCAAACACACAAAAATTGATTACGAAATGTTAAAAGAAATGAGAAAAATCAAAAGAAAAACTGTTTGTCACAACAAATAAAATATGTTAATGTGATTCATTAACAATGTTTGGTTGTAGTAGTTTTTTTTTTACGTTTTTTTTTTTTTTTTTTTGGATTCTGGTATGAATTTGTAATGTATGGAGGGTACCTGTGGTTAGGTTTATTTCGGTCGCCCTCTGCCTGTGTCCCAAAACACGGAACTGCGGTAGTTCGACCTCACTGCTCATGCCAACACTACTCAGTCCATCTCTCCAGAAATATCGGATATCTCGCATCGTGTAACCGACTGGTTGTGGTTGTTGTTGTTGTTGTTGTTGTAGTTGTTGCAAAGAGGGGGGGCGGTAGTTAATTAATTATTGTAATTGTTGTTTGTTGTTGTTGTAGTTATTGTTGTTGTAGTTGTTATTGTGAAGGTGGTTTTTGTTTAAGATATACGATTAGTTTTCGGTTAGTAACACTTATTTTTGCACTCACATATATTGCATGAGTTTTTGGGTGTTTTTACAAGTATCTTAAGCTTAAGACTACAGTGAGTTAAGATCCGGGTTTTGCCGCGTTTTTTGGCGTGTATCTTGACAAAGAATCATAACATATTTGTATGTATATACATTTGGTTAGCTTATTGTGTGGCCACTGAGTAAAAGCGTGCTGCGTATGTACTTTTTTCGTTTTTCTTTTTTTTAATAATATACATTGAATTGTTTAAAATATATATGGTATATAATATAACGTTAGTTAATATTAAGCACATTTAGTTTCAGTTAAGTCGATCGATCAAAATCAGGAGCCTTCTGCGGTTGCTGTAAGTGAGAAGGCGACCGAAAACCAACCAATCTAATGAATTATATATTTTTTTTGGCTTTTATGTTCAATTTTGTTTTGGTTTTGTTTTTATCTGGGAGTTTGTTTGGGGCACATGGATGAAACATGAGAGTAAAAGAGTTATACGTATGCTGCAGGATAAATCGTTGGCAAAATATACTCATATATTTGTTAGCTGATTTGGCGGCTGTGCAAAATGGCCGAAAGAAAAAACATAAAAAAACTGGGGAATATGTACGCAGTAAACCCTTGCTAAAACTACAGCTAGGTACGAATAAAAGCAATACTAAACAAGTTTTTTTTTTTGTTTTAATTCATATTATTTCAGTGTGCCCGATTTTAAGGAAAAAGTTAACTATTGTAAACCAAATATTTGAGAGCTAGAAAACAGAGCATTGTGCCTCAAGATCTCACTTGATTGAGGTAAAAAAAAACGTATATATATATTATGATATAGTACATAATCCGCTGCGGAGATATTGACTACCCGACTAATATCAATAGAAATTATTGTGTTTATTTCGTAAATACGTTTGTGTGTGTGTGTGTTTGTCTTCTCTGTGTGCGTTGACTTACAATTTGCTTGCATTTTGCAACACTTTCTTTTTCAATTTTCTGCCCACACTGAACAAACAGCGCGCGGCCTTAAGCTTAGTGGCCAAAATTTGGTGCAGATGCAATTAGTTACGGGCCAGATATATATATATATATATATATATATATATATATATATATATATGGTATATATATTTGCGTAAGTTTTCAGATATTACTAGACTAGGCAGAGCTACACATGCTAAATTGGTCATGACGAGTGGGCAGTTTGAGCGTTAGCCAACACTAAGCACATCGGCACTTTACTTTGGCCACTCGGTTTCTGGTTAAGTGCTTCATATTCTGAATGAGTTCATTTCTTATCGATACATATATCGATACAAATACAATTACAAGTTTCATTTCGAGATTTAATTCAAGTTTCTTTTGTCTTCTTTTTTTTTTTTTTGCCTTATTAACTTTAATTTATAGCATTTTAATGAAATCGAATAGATAGGTAATTGGGCATAGTACTTACAGCTTTCGATCTCAATGTGACACAGTTGACGGTCCATTGGGAAATACTGCAGATTCATGGGACACGATGCGGTGATAGTCAATCTGAAAGGTCATTTTTTTTGTGTGTTTCGTTTTTTTTTTTTTTTGTTTTGTGTTTTGTTGAGAAGAAGAATTCGATTAGTATGTTAGTGGAAAAGGTTTGGCATGAACACAGCTAATGGTTACAACAATTAAATAAGCAGAGGGTAGGAGCAAATAATTTACGACATTAAGGCTGGGGTTAGGGTAATTTTCTTATATAATATATATTATATATATATATATATTTTTTTTTTTTTTTTGTAGGTTTTTCTAGTATTTGAAACAGAGCGAGTTCAATTGGTTATGAGTTAACATTCGTTATTATAATAATTGTTATTAGAAATGTTAGTAAATAACAACATTTGTATTTTGTAAGTGAGAGTTACGAGTGGCATTTGGTTGTAGATAGTGAGGCGAGTGGCGCTGGGTTAAACATGGTTAGGTTAATTGGCCTACGTTCTACGCATACGTGATAATGCATATTAGTTAATTTCTAGTTTAGTTTCGTTTTGATTTGGTTTAGTTTAGGTAGTCGGCAGCTGGTTAGCGATTTTGGACAGATTCTTGTTTAAAGGTAGTAGAAAATTGTATGCCCAGTAGCTAGAGTAGCTACTGCGACCAGTGCAACCTTTTGACGGTGTAAAAGACACATGGAGACACCTCTTGAGGTTGTTAATGCTACTTCTTGATCTCGTTGTGGTGCCTGGCCGGATGGGTGAGGGGGTTCGGTTTCGGTTTTGCAAACTTCATGGAAACTTGTTGAGATGAAATGTGCAAAAGATTCTTTTGATTTAAACGCTCGGAATATGTTGTATATATATCGCCAACTTTCTATCGCTTTCACTTTTTTGCCAATTGAACTCACTTGATTGAAAACTGTTTTTCATTTTGTTGAACTTTTCGTTTCGTTTCGATTGTTTTTTTTTTGGTTTTTTGTTTTGGTTAGTAAATTACAACATCCATTTATACACACACATCAAAAACAGTACAAAGTTGCAAAAAGGGTTAAGAAATAATTGGAACAAAAACAAAAAAAAAATGCTTTAGTTAGTAAATAGTTTTTGAACTATTCGCAGTACATTTTAAGTTTTTTGTTTTTTGTTTTGTTTTGTTTTTTACACATAGACATATAGATTGTTAAAAATAATTTGAAAATTGCATTTGATTTGATTTGCTGGAAGATAGTTGATAGTTTTACCTAATACTTCTTGTTATCGATCCAGAATGATGCACGCGAATGAATTCATTACTGGTTGTTGCAATGTGAAAATATGATTGTTTTTCATTTACAAAAAAGGTGTCAGGTACCCAAATATTCTTAATGAATTCTGATCCAACCGATAGTGTTTCTACACCAGGTCGTTTTCTATACGCTAAACGAGGATCGGTCCAAAATTGACGAAAGTAAAAATCCAATGTAAAGTCCTATACACGAAAATATCGATACGAAAGCATCGAATCGAATCGAATTTATCGACGACAATTTCGATTATCAAATTGGGGAGCAAAAAGAGATGTTTGTTTCTTATTAGTAAACTTAGTATTGCACTGAAAGCTTAGAGTATTATGAAAACAATAAAACACGAATCGAACTCAAACAAAATAGTTTCTTCTCATATATCGAAATGAAAGTTTAAGAAAGTGTTCAAGAATTGTTTGGAAATCAGGGAAAATTTTGCACAGATTGAAGTATAAATATCGTATATATTTTTGCTAATTAGGAAAATAATAAAATGCGCTTTACAATCCACACAAATCAAATTGTTTTTCATTTTTTGTGATAGAAACGAAAATTGAAAAATTTCTTTAACAATATCGTGCAACAATTTGTAAACAATATAAAAAGTTGGTGGACTCCGAGGGAATTTTCTTTTCGTTCTTTTTTTTTTGGGGGGGTTGAAAATACATATAAATTTCAGGGCATGCAAAAACATCAAATTTACAGTAAGTTTTTGGGCAGCATTAATGTTTTTATATCGAGAAAATCAGAGAACAACTGAGAAAACAAACTTAAAATAAGTTTAATATAATTAAAAATAATCTTAAATCAAGTTCAAAGTATTTGTAACAATAAATAAGCTTATATACAGTAAGCAGTTCAGAAACCTCTCACAAATATTTGATTTGCTGTGATGTGAAGTAGTTTAGAGATATTCTGTTTAACTCGAAAAAAAGATAGTTAAATACTTAATTTAAGTTGTAAAATTCTTGCTCTAAGGCAAATGACTGTTTATAATTCATTTGTACAGCAAGATCTTAACTTTTGCTAGCTTGGCTTGGCTTGGCTTTTGGCTCTTTGTTGTCCTGCTGCAGTGCCTTAAAGCTAAAGCGTACTAAAAACCAAAAGGAAGCGGTTCGGGGCGAGGCGGAGCGGTACTGGGTAGAGGGGAAGACTAGGGTTCAGTTATATTGTAGAGCAGTTCAGATCAGCTGATCAGGCTGAGCTTGGTATACGAGTCATGTGTGTGTGTGTGTCTATGGGTGTGTGTGTATGTGTGTGTGTTGCTATTGGCTTGGATTCTTGTTTTTGGTTACACACAATTTGTATCTCGTGTTCAGGATTCGAATTTTAAACTAAGACAAAAAGAATTGAAACGAAATTCGTAAAAATGCAAGTGATATGCGTTAGAGAGCGTACTTTTGGGTACATTTTCTTGTTTTTTCTAGATATGTCTAAGATGCTTGTTCGAGAAATTGCCCGCCGCACTCGTGACACTGTTTATGCAATTCTCAGTTGGTTAAATTGATTATCTGTTAGTTTCAGGCTTAAGTTCAACTCTAGCAGATTTGGTTTCCACTCGGTACAGGCACGCCAAAAACAAAACTTTAACCAAAAAACTCAAGTACAGCGAAACTCAAAATATTTTAAAGCTCTTAAGGCAGTTTTTTTGTTAGTTATATAATTTGAAAAAGGTTCGAGTCTAGTCGAAATCATAAATTACATATATTTATGGTACGAGTTACATAAATATACAATTATACTCGCACGCAGGGGATTTAAAAGTATGTTTTCTCTGTTTTTTTATCGTGGGGCTAGGTTGAGTTTTTTCTTATACCATTTATACAATTTACATAGCCGCGAGCATACGTTTATCGGAAACTGCAATTGTATCTGCATCTGTTTGTGTATGTGCATTTGTATTTCCTAATGTATCTATATATTGAGTTGCATCTGTATTTGTATGAACATCAGCAACTTTGCCTGCAAAAGTATCTATATCTGTATTCGTACAAGCATTTGGAACTGCGTCAGTAAACGAACTGTTTCTTTAAAAGTATTTTTGTGTGCAAAAGAAATTGTATCTGTATCTGTTATGGGACTCTGTAAAAGTATTTGTCTCTGTGTCTGCACAAGTTTCTGCATCTGCATTAGTAACTGTGTAATTTATCTATATCTGTCAATCTGTATCTGCATCTCCATTAGTAATAGTATCTGTTACATAGGACCATGAAGCATCGGGAAGTACTTGTAACAGTGCAAATATCGGTAAAAGTATCTGTAATATTATCTGTAATAGTAAAAGTATCTGAGTAGACACATGTCTGAATCCATACTGTGTGTCTATCTATAGATGGAAGTATCTGTGTCTGTATCTGTATCTGTATCTGTATCTGTATCTGTATCTGTATCTGTATCTGTATCTGTATCTGTATCTGTATCTGTATCTGTATCTGTATCTGTATCTGTATCTGTATCTGTATCTGTATCTGTATCTGTATCTGTATCTGTATCTGTATCTGTATCTGTATCTGTATCTGTATCTGTATCTGTATCTGTATCTGTATCTGTATCTGTATCTGTATCTGTATCTGTATCTGTATCTGTATCTGTATCTGTATCTGTATCTGTATCTGTATCTGTATCTGTATCTGTATCTGTATCTTATCTGTATCTGTATCTGTATCTGTATCTGTATCTGTATCTGTATCTGTATCTGTATCTGTATCTGTATCTGTATCTGTATCTGTATCTGTATCTGTATCTGTATCTGTATCTGTATCTGTATCTGTATCTGTATCTGCATCTGTATCTGTATCTGTATCTGTATCTGTATCTGTATCTGTATCTGTATCTGTATCTGTATCTGTATCTGTATCTGTATCTGTATCTGTATCTGTATCTGTATCTGTATCTGCATCTGCATCTGTATCTTATATGCTTTGGAAAGACCATTTTTTGCTTGGTTGTTTATTTCTCTCCTTCAGTTTCGTTTTTCGAAAAGATATCTTGTTTTTTTTTATGTATTTTTGAACATATTTTTTTGTACAGTTGTTGTGTGCTAAAAAAATAATATGTAAACTTAAAAAAAAATAATGCGAAGAATGTTATGTAAGAGTAAGTTTATGCGCATGTTGTTGTAATTGTGTATGCATGAGAGAAACTACAAAATTGTTGTTGCTGTTGCTGTCGATGTTGTTTTTGGCATGGGGCATTTGGGTGTTGTTCCGCGTGCCGTGTTTCGTGTTGCTTCGCTGCCCCATCTCGTGTACATGCTACTGCTATGTTAACCACGTTTATTTCGCATAAATTGATTGCTATTGACTTTTGATGCCAAAGCCAAACGGTGCACGTATCAATCCACCCAGCATTGTGCTTTACATAATGGTGCAGTTAAAGTGTAGCGTATAGAACACAATTGATTCGATGGGTGCTTAAGTACAGTGTATCTGATTTCGCGGACACATGTGCCTGAAAATTCAAACAACGTTTGGCATTGCTTGCTTCCAATCAAATGCTGTTCTCTAGCGACCTCATTCTCAGTGAAGTGTGCATGAGAATGTGTTTATATTTAGCTAAAATCGAGCCAATTCTTTTTTTTTTTTTTTGTTATTCAATGATTGCAAAAGTCGTGGGTTCGAATGGGGTAAAACTATAAAAAGAGTCTAATTCTGGTAATTCAGTTCTTCCATGAAGCTAGGTTTAAGTATTTAGAATAAAAGCAATTTAAAAAACTATTTGAATGAAACTGTGTTTGTATCCAATTGTATGTGTTAGTTAAGCCTTTGCTTTGATGAACAAAAATGCATAAGAATTTAATAATATTGTTGAATTTATTCAAAATTTGAAAAAGCAAAAAACATGAATTCAATCAAATTTTGTATTAAAATTTTGTTGCTCTCAGAGACCTGTCTGAATAAAATGAATAAAATTAAACACAGAAGTACACTTGTACACTTATATACTTTGGCTATATCGAGTATATATATAGATATGTATATCACATATGACATTGAGCTTTAATATATTGTACGAGTATGCTATATGGCGTACATTATTCATATTCATATTCATATTCATTCATATTGTTAACAAAAACGCATGCGCGCAGCCGTTGTCGACAGGACTGCTGTGATTTTCTTTTGCCCTTGGCCAGAATAAAGTACAATTAACTAGTTATTGATCAATGCAAGTTTCTAGTTGAAGCATTTAACTTATAAGCTCGAAAAAGTTTAACGTTCCGATTGAATTATGAAACAAATGAGTAGTTTGGATGCAGGAAATATATCAGATTGAGAGAATTGAATTGTATAATAAACTAAATATTATAAGAACTATAAATGGCTATCTTCAGCAAGCCGAAGATTGAATACCCTTGTAGAAATATGACTGACTGCTTGCAGATATGTGAGGAGCTTGACAGAGCTCGCAATTGCTGAGTTTGGAGAAGATATGAGTGAGAAATAGGAACATTTTCCATAAAAAAAACATATTTTTCAGTCGACACTCTTTTGTTTAGATACAACCTTGCTTTGCAAGAAGTATAAGAAGCATGCTATAGTGCTATATTAGACAGAAAGTGTAAAGTATACTTAGTATAGCTTTAGCTTAAGACTAGTTCGTGTAGAAACAGACAGACGGCTAAACAGACTAGGCTAATAATGCTGATCTTGAAAATATATACTTTATGGCATCGGAGATGTTTTCTTAATAACAAGGGTATACAACATGTTTCTACGAATTTAAAGCGTTGAGTTTTTAAGCAGGAGCAGCGCATAGTATAGAAAATGGAAAGTTGAACCGATTCAAAAGACCTACTCGATTATAAGAGATGTGTTTAAATTTTAGACTTGTAAAAAAGAGTTAATTATGCCAAATTTTATGCAATATGTGTGTGTGTTTTCAACCGATTGTACTTTATTTTGGCTCAATGACAAACTGACGGCATTGCAAAAACAATTATGAACACAACATTTAATTGTTACAATTTTTTTTAGAATATATGTTTATATATATTTAATAATGTTTAGATATTGTATAATGGGTATATATGCATTGGAAATTTTGCGATTTGCCTCGAATGTTTGAAAACCAAAAGATTATGATTTACAAATAAATAAAAATAAATGTGAACATAGCGAAATTAATAACGAACAAATGTGTACACAAAATGTGTGTTAAGCAAGAGTAAAGGCAGAGAAGAGAGACTAAGAGAGAGAGAGAGAGAGAATGAGAGAGAGAGAGAGACAGAGAGAGTTGGGTAGATAGCTGGGGTACAGAGTTGTTAGAGAGTTAAATTAAGAAGTTGACATATGATATATATATATATTTTTTTTGATTTAACTTTTGATTGATTTTATGAAACAGAAAAGTTGATTTTCACTTTTTGTTTAAATTTTTTAAAATTTATTTTTGGAAATGTTTTTTTTTTTTTATTTGGTATATTTGGTTGGTATGTACCATGAGAACTTCCGAAACCGAACTGATACTGAGGACATACATTGTGACGCCGACCTCCACAGGGGGACCTGCAACATATACACACACACAGACAGGTTGAGGGTTTGTTTGTTTTCTTTTTTCTTTATCTATTCAAATTGTCGTTGTTTTTTTTTTTTTTAGTTGTTCTTGTTGTTGTACTAAAACGTTGTTTGTTGTTTGTAGTTGTTGTTGTTAGTGTGGAGCCCAACATAAATATTAAGTAAATTACACGCACACCATTGCAAAAATAACATAGACAGAGACTTATTGCTGTCACTGTCAACTACCAAGAGCTGGCAGTATGCCTTAAAATTCTTTTTATTATAACCCGCATGTAAATATATTTTATGCTAATATTAAGCTGAACTGAGACTTGAGGGCAATTATGTTCAATTTGTTTTATAACTAACAAAAATCCCACGTTTTCGATCATCAACAGATTTTGTTAAGATTGTAATTGTCTGGTAACCCTTTCGAAGCTTTGACTTGTTGGGAATTGCAAGCGTCAAGCGTCGAAAAGTACAGCCTGCATTCCAGAGTTCAGTTTAATATTAGTTTTTTACACTTAAATCCGATTTTTATTTGTGGCTGTTTAATTTTCATTAGCAAAATTAAATATACAATGTACAGTTGTGCGCGTTTTTCTTAGTTTTTGATTCATAATTTGTTTCTACATATTTTCTAAAAGTGTGCAAAGGTTTTGCTTTTGTCTTGTTGCACGCGCCGAATGAAAACCAAATCAACTATTTGAGTTTTGTTTCTTTTTTATATACTTTTAAGGCCCAGCTATATGAAAGCTATGTATTTTTTTTAAAGTGTATTTCGAATATATTCATAATAAAGTCTAGCGTAACATAAGAAAATATATTTTTGTATTCTTTTTGCTGTGATAGCGGATTTAACACACCATTTGGAAAAGCTTTGAATTGTTCTGAATGGTTGGCAGCTGCAAGTTAAGAAAATGTATCTTAAAAGCTTTGTATGATATGTGTGTGATCCTATAAAAACAAGAAGAAGAAGTAGAAGTAGACGAACACAAAAAGACCATGAAGTGAACGCAAGTAAGTTTTGCTTTCATTGTGTGAGTGTGTGGGCGTGTGGAGGGGAAGGAAATTGGGATAAAATTGTTATGAATGGCATGAATTTCTATATATTTTGTTGGGAATAGACTGTAAGAGCTGTTGGCGGGGGGGTAATTGGGTGGTAAAGCTTGCTATCTGTGCTGCACCAATTACAAATTGTACTCAAATTGTCAACGACACAAACACACAGAGAGAAACTCGTTTCAAAATTTAACACACTAAATAAAAGCGTGAATTCGTATTGTTAGAAAGAAGAAAAAAGCATTGCCAATCTTTAGTTAGTTTTTAGTTCACAGTTACTAAGAGAGAGAATATGATTTGTTTTTTTTTTTTTTAATTTTATTCGAATTAACTGAGTGCAGCCTCACGTTTGGATTTGGCTACTTAAGGTACCTAGTTTTTAGAAAAGTTTAGTTCATAGCTCAACCTAATACGAGTCAGCACTAACTGGAGAAACCTACGAGAAGTTTAAATAAGTTGAGCTAAATTATAAACGAAAAAGAACTCATCATAACTTAAGTAAAGGCAGAAGAAACAAGTACATTAAAAAATAGTATCAAAATTGTTCTAGAAATTCGTATATTAAAAAGAAAAAGTAGTGTGTGTGTGTGTGTGTGTGTATGTGTGAATATAACGTGTTTCTTTATAATGTGTTTCTTGTTTTTTTTTTTTTGGCAACAAACTAAAGCATCGTGTGGCACAAATTGAATGTTTAAAGTAAAGTGAAAAAGTCAGATACAAAATAAATTATATTTCAACAACAGAGACAATAGAGAGAGAGAGAGATTATGCGAGCGAGACAAAGAGAGAGAGAGAGAGAGTTTTAAGAGCTTAAAGGTACAAAGGTCATTTAGTTTGTACCATTTTCACTTCTGAGAGCGAGCTGATTGATAGCACATACATGGTGACTCCGACTTCGACAGGAGGTCCTGAAACACGTACAGTTTGTTTTGGCATGGTTATATATATATAAATATATAGATATATTTTTTATATGCGAACAAAATAACGCTACTTAACAGTTAACAGTCAGTTGTATATGAATTAGTTCAGCTAATATTGAACTATACTAAATAATATATATGATATGGAATATACGTTGTGCCCGCCCACGTTCAAGTCGCGTTAACTAACCCTATTTAGTGTGTTTAACTAGTTGTTGTATTTAAATATGACGCTTGTACTTACCACCATAATTGGGTCTTACTCTTTTGTCATAACTAACACTAAAGGAGTCGAGTATAGCGGATATGTTTACGTCACCCAACATGCTGCCGCCGCCAGTTCTAAAGAGGGGAAGAGAAGAGAAAATGCATGTTAAATAAATTAAGTGTAATCATATGAAAATAAGCTATACTTATAATAATAACAAAAGCAGCTAGCTGTGGCACAACGAATATTAAATACGCTGTGCAATACAATAGAGGTATATTTCTAGCCGATTGTTCCTATATAAGCTATATGATATTGAGGTTGACAATATTTGCAGGATGTTGACAAGATATGTGGCTAACAGCGAGGCTCGTTAAGCAATTAATATCCTATATAGACATGGGCCACGCCCATAATTTGCTCAAAACTCAACCGATAAGGTTTGGCTTTTAGTTCATGGTTTAGCCTCCAGATATAAATGGTACCCTAAAATATCCTATATATGGCCAGACATAAGTCAAAATTCTAACACAAACGCTTTACATAAACTAAATGGGAACTACGAGTGAACGTGTATACCCAATTGCCTAAAATAATAACTAGATATGCATAGAAAAACTCTGGTTTTAACAGCTATATAATATAGTATAGTAACACAATTCGGCCGACTCTGAAGTATGCTCTGAATTAGTAGAGGAGTGTAGTACTAGAGGTAGTTATCCGGCGTCGCTCGAAAGAATATTAGGAAAATGCAAGTGGCAGATATAAAGCCACATATGACTTTTTTCTAGTTATTAGATTTAAAAGACAAAAACGAGGTCAAAAATTTTACAATATATAAAATATAATTAGAATCAAATGTGCATATTTTTTTTTGTAAGCGGCTGGAAAGAGATCGCGTGGGGAGATGTAATACAGTTTTTTATTGTAATAAGATTTGATTTTGTTCACAGTTAGAGGAAAAATAAAATTGCTTTGTATAGAAACCTAGATTTCATTTTTGTTGAGAATGTGGCAACAGCTAGGCAAACATGGCTAGACGATATAGCTGTATGCTCTATATGCTGGGAAATGCCTCCTCTTGGCTGTTATCTACATTTATACAACTTTATTAAGCCCTTGTTGTTATTTTTCCAGACATTTTATGGCTGTGGGGTATGAAAGCGGATGAAATGGAAACGGCTGCTGCAGGTATGTGTGTGCATGTGCGTGTGTGTGCCTGCATATGTGTATATTTCTATGTGTGTGCGTACGTGTGTGTGTTGGGGTGTGTGTGTGTGTGTGCTTTTGTGCCACATTTACTTTATTTGGCATCAAGTGCACACACCCACGCAAAGTCAAACAGTCAAACGGGCTGCCACAACCCATAGCCAGGCACATACGAATATTTATTTATGTGAATGCATATACATATATATATATACATGTGTGCTTACACATGCGAGAGTGTACGTGTGTGTGCTTGTGTGTGTATTATTTATGGCAAGTCCCTGGCGCTGAAGGCACAACCATGACTGTGTTTATTTGCGTCTATTCTGCGCTAAACTGTGCTATTAAAGCGCGTTTGTTGGCATTTTAACTGTCTCGCTGCTCGGCTATACACTCAAGTCTGCATGTATGCGTGAGTGTGTGTGTGTGTGTGTATGTGTATGTGTGCTTGCTGCTGTTGTGTGTGCGTGAGCGAAATCACAATTTAATAAAAGTTACGCCTGCAAATAAACAGCCAATATGAGTTACTTTCTTCTGTTTTGTGCGCGCGCGCAGTTCAAAAGTGTTTGCGTTTTTATGCCCTTCTAGAGGGTATTGCTAGTTTCTCATTCAATTTGTAACACATTGATGGAGATATCGCCGTTTCCAGATATTATATGTATGCATACGCATGTCCGTCTGTCTGTCCATCTTCCGAACTTGGAAGACCAAGAAGCTAGAGACATTTGATCTTAAATATCTATTTCCTTCTGTATCAAATGCGGTTGGATCATGTTATTTTCTTTGGATATCTTTTTCCATTCTTCTCCCATAGCTCGCAGATTATTAGAGCTAGATACACAGGTTTATTCACTTTTTGGAAACCTTTCCCTGAATCCTTCATAATTGGAAAACAAATGTTTATTGTGGGTTCAACCTTGCTCTCTGGTATACATAAAAATTTTATAAAAATTGCATGATAAATACTCGAGTTAATCCAGCATGGCTTTCCCTTATGGAATATGGAATATGTAGTCAAGAGAAGAACAAAAAAAGCCAGTGTATGTATGCATGCATGCAAAGTTAGATTCTTGTTATAAGTAGGTTCAGGGTATATGCTAGTCGAACAGTCCCGATAAAAGCACTTTTATTTAATTTTTTTTTTAAATTTTTGTTTTCATTTTAGCATTTCTGTACGCAAATTTGAAATTTCACCTTTTGAGCTAATTATTATTAGAGCTGAATTGTTTTTAATTTAGGAGCCAGCTGCAAACTGTAATCAAGGCACATAGACCCTTTCTCCCCGCCCTCTCTCTCTCCCTCTCTCTTGCTCTCTCTCTCTCTCTCTCTCTCTCTCTCTGTCTCTCTCCCTCTCTCTGTCCCCGCTCGCAGCTCTCACTGTCTCGCCTGCTGTCGGCTTTTGTGTATACGCAGCGTTGGCATTAAAGCAAAAGCCGACGCGAAAAAAATGGCAGCCTATTTATAAATATGTATTTATGTGTGTATAAGTATTATTTATATATATATGTATATATATATATATAGATATGGCTTCTAGCTGGTAGCTTCTGCAATGGCCTGACAACAGTTGATATGCGGTTTGCCTGTGCTTTGTGGATAATGAAAAAGTTTTGATTGCTATTTGATTTGAGTCTAAGAAATGACAGCATTGTGAGCGTGCGAGCACTTCGATGCCGTACACCGCTGCGTATGCGCAATATTTGTTTTTCCACTCGAAAAAAAAGAACATAACGAAAAACAAGAACAACAAACAATGTCATCAAAATTTTAATCTTACCCGCTGACAGCTTGTCGCGGCAATTGCTTGCAGAGCGCGCCTCGCATTTGCCATAGACAAAATTGGGGCGTGGCCTGTTGGCAGCGTGGCGTAAACGTAATATGCAAATGAGCTGGCAAGCCAGCTGAACTAATTATTATGCCACATTTGATCAACTTATTTATGCAGCTGCGCGCGGGACACACTCTACAAAACAGACATGTGTGCACACATGTGTGAGTGTATATATGTGTGTGTGTGTGTGTGGGGGGGTCTGTGTGTATGTATGTGACACTTGTTATTGAGTGCACTAGAAAATATTGAAGCAGCGTCCAAATATTTGCCTATTGAGACATGCAGATACACATAAGTAGTATTGACTGATTGTTATCTTATTGTAAAACCCTGTGAGTTTTGTGTGACAAATGGAAATTGCTCGACTAGCCGATGCCCTGTATGCAGATAGAAAGCATCTGATGTATGTAATGCATACTTATGGAGTGCATCTTTTTATACTTCTGATAATTCTTTTTTGCAATTTTGTGTGAAAAAAGCCGCACTCCTTGAAAGCTTTGAATTTGACTGTTTTCTCGTCCCATTTTTGGTTAGTTTCAATAATATCGCTTTCGAAACAGAACGAAAAGTAAATATGAAAAGTGAGCGCTTTTCAAATAAGCTAAAAATGTTGTTCGTTTCTTACGCAATCATCCCAATCTGGCTGCCTAAGTGTACTCTAAAGGGACGCAGAATTGAAGGATTCCGTATGCGGAGGAAATTGCGAAGGTCTCATCCAATCGATATTTTGGATCAATTTACAATAAACAATCTATTTAGATTTATTTTATTATGTTAGATCTAACTATAGAATAAATTGTATTACATTTATTCATATAGATAAAGCACAAAAACAATATTTAATTAATTAATTCAATAAGCAAACGAAATGATTACAAAAAGTCCGAATTTTGCTTCAAGAACCGTATGTATTTTTTTGTACACAAAGTTTCTCAAGTCTTTTCAAGTGTCTCATATATTAGTTTTTTATTCGCGAAAAGTGTCTATTGTGCCCATTATTTATACACTTTTTTTGAAAAACAATGACCACAAGAAGTTGTTAGAACTTTGCTACAACTCTGCCTTAACAAGCTTTCTTTTGGCGTATCAAGCGCCCATTATGCCCATAGTAGGCTTTTATTTTTCCAATTTTTGTTAAGATAAATAAACTAAAAATCTTTAAGTTACATTGAATAGAAATGCTAACAGAAAATAAATAGAACTTCTCTTCAACTATGCATTAACAAGCTTTCCTTCGCATTCTGCAAGAGCTACCTATTTGTACATAAACTAACGAATTTATGTTTACTTTTAACACAAATGACAATAAGACATAAGAACTTCTTTTAAGATCTGCATTATTAATTTTATTTAGCACATTTGGACCATTGTGCGCGTTGCATGCAATAAATGCGCGCATAAGTAGGCAACGCTTTTTGCAACACAAAATTGCAAAGTGGCTTGCACAAGTTTCAAGCAGCAGCAGCACAATAAAAGCTGTAACAGTTACGAAAACAACAACAACAACAAAAACGATGAGCTATAAGAAAGGCATGTCATGCGCAGGAGTGAGCATGGTCCAGGCCCAAAACGTGTCGCCGAGTGTTATGCCAACACCATCCGCCATATTATCGCTGGCCACACAGTTTGTTGTCTTATCTGAAGCTGCTGTGTGTGTGAGTTTCTGTGTGTGTTTATGTGTGTGTGTGTGTGCCTGTGGCAACGCCCCAACATTGGTGGCTGCGTAACTTATGCTGCTCGCCCGCAAATGAAAATGTAAGAAATATCTTTGTTATTGTTTGTTGCCGTTGCTATTGTTGTTATTTTTACTGTTGTTGTTGTTGTGGTTGTGGTTGTTGTTGTTGCCGTTGTCGTTTTTAGTGGCACTTTGAGCACTGGCCCATTACGTATACGCTGCGTTGGACACGCGCCATTGCATAAATTCAAGTGTTATGTTAAAACAAAGCGGAAATGCGAAAAAACAGCTAGCTAACATTATCTTGCTGCCAGTCAGCATGCCCCACCTTCCTCGTACTCTCACCCTCTCTCACTCTCTCGCTCTCTCTCTCTCTCTCTTTAAATCCGGGACACCCATGTCAGACAAAAGTCTAGCTG